CAATCCCGGACCGGGTTTTTTTGCCTTCTCTCCCCTCTTGGCCCTATGGCCCAAAATTTATGAAATCTTGATGTTTTTTTTTTAATTAAATCCACACAAATCTTATGCATTTATTCTTGGATCATGTAAATCTTTTTTTCACCATAATTTATTTATTGGAGGATTTTTTTTGTGGATTCGGTTGTTAATTCTCAATGGGTAATTGATTCCTAAATTAAAATGTTGATTTTTTTCCATATTAGGTTCAAATTAAAAAAAAAAGAATTGTAAGGGTTAAAAGGAGAGATTGATGGATAATTTTACTTTAAAAAACAGGGATATTTTGGTAAACTTACAAGGTAAAAAGTGAAAAAAGGTCACAAATTAGAATGAAGGGGTCACAAACTAGTTTTTTTTCAAAAGGGGGTCATAAATTCAAAATGAATAATTGGGGTGGTTATAAATCTCAATTTCCCTAGAAATTTGGTAAATAGAGAAAAAATTAATCTAGTATAAATTTATAATATTATATAATAAAATCCATAAACTAATAAAAATTTAAGTATAAATGAAGAAGAAATTACAAAAGTATGAAAAAAGTCTCATTAATAGATGAGAGAGATGGTAAAAGTTGTAAAGTAATTATAATAAATTTGTGGGGCCCATGAAATAAGGAATGAAAAGGTGATTGATAGGGTTGTATGAGTGTAATGCGGTTACACCTTTTAAGAAATGAGATTACAAAGTTTGAGAGGTGAGTCCACCATTTGATTACATTTCTGCAATTTGGCAAACACCATCAAACATAATAAAAATTTTTATGACGATTCCTTGATTACGATAGCAGTTAAGTAAATTGGGCCTTAGATTTTTTTTACCCTTTTCTAAAAAAATCTAATTTGTGACCCCTTCCATTCTGTTTAGACCTCACAAATTCTTTTTAATTAAAAATATCAATTATCAATTGGAACCCGGAACAAATCCGCAAAAAGTCATCCTAAACAGAATCTAGGTAAATCCTCTCATAACTAAATTCTGGTGGATTATTAGGTTCATACACAAAAAAGTAATAATCATAATAAAAATCATGAAATAAATGGCTATATATATATAATATAATAAAAAAACAAAAACTGGAACGGTGTGTATCCTAGATCGAGATTGCATAACCGTATATCCCGGTCCAGTTATGCAATCCCGATCCAGGATTGTTCTATACCAGGCCGGGATCCACATAGTTTTTTTTTGTTGGCCTCTTTGTCAATTAAATCTTCGACATTTAATGACCCGTGATTTATGGAATCTTGACTTTCTTTCTAATTATGTAAATTCAATTTTCCATGTTAAACAATTAACTATTTTATATTCCATTATCAACCTTTTCTTTAAAGTTTTCAAGTTTAAAAATTAAATTTTTTAGGTTTGTGATTGATTATTCAAATTTAAAAACTAAGATTTTTTTCATATTAAATTCAAATTGAAGAAATTTGTGAAGGGATTGGGGGAGGGAATAAAGATTGCGAGTAACGAAGATATTTCGGTAATTTTATAAAATCAAAAAATAAAAATATGTCACAGATTAGAAGAGATAGGTCATGAATAAGAGAATTTAAAAAATGGGTCAAAAAGTCCGAATTAAATTAAGAAAAATGAACAAAAATCCCAATTTTTTATTGGTGTTGATCATCAATCGATATTATTTGATGTAATTTTATTTTAATTATTCATTATTTATTTTGATGTAATTTTATTTTAATTGTTCATTATTTATTAATATTAAAAATTTTTATAATAAAAAATATTTACTATCCATGATATAGTAATAAATTAAATTAAAATTTATTATTATTGTAATTAAAAAACATTAGCACAAATATATTTGTAATTAGCTAAAAACGAAAAACTAAAAAGGAGAAAGGGGTATACTAATAATTTATATATATCTGATTCCGATTATCATTTGACATAAAAATTGCAACTAATTTGAAGGCTTTTGCCTGCATCGACATTACCTATCTTTCCCGACAGATAAATAATTCATCTAAAAAAATAGGCCTATCTTTGACATTGGGAAAAATGTTCAATAAAAACCCTAACTTTTATTTTCTTTCTACATTCAGCTACCAAAACCTTTCCTTCTCCCTTTCTTCTACGCTCGCTCCTCCGCCACTGCTCTCGATCTCTATCAGCCATTGCTCATCTCGATTTCTCTCCCTACAACCCATTTTAGTTTTACTGGAAGGATTTAAAGAAATGTATATTTTTACAATTTTTCAGTGTGAATCATAAATTTATGCTTCAAACGAGTTTTTACAAAGAGGAGAAGAAAATAACTGGCTTAAAGTTTCTTACACAAAAATATGTATTTGTACTCAAGTCTAACCCAGCCAAAAATTCGCCCTCTGTTTTCAGGTAGTTAATCCCAAACAGAGGTACATCGTTTCATAAATTACAGAGTGAACTCGAATTCTACTAACCATCATCGAAACATATTCCTTAAAACACGATATAACTCTGGTGATATGCAGCTTGTCCAACCATTTTCCCGACGCTTCAAAGTTCGTCCCAAACATGTCGTTCCTGTGCATGTTCGACTTTGTAAACTAAATCCTCATTGCCTTGAATTGGATTTCTACCATGGTTAATATCTCTAGGAATGTTATCTGCTTGCTTGACCATCCCGGCTTTGATCGCAGCAGTGGCCATCCTCTGCAACTTCAGTAGTCCAATACGTTTCGAAACAACATAAAGAACGGCAAGAGAGAAAAAGAAAAACCCAACTGCCAGTATAATCCTGTCCATATAATAGCCTCATTCTTAGCTAATAAGGTATAAAAGAGGTTCAATTACAAATCTAGTCTTTTAACTTTGATGCTCTAGAATTCAAAAAGTTTCACTTTCATCCTTAAGCTATAGTTATACACAGTTCCTACCATTAACATTGCTAACTAGATAGTGCTGTGTTATGCCTATTCGACAAATGTTGGCTATATAGACGATAGAAGAAAGAAAATAGACATTTGGAAAAAATAGAGCGGGATGTGCAAATGCTCTTTTTGAAGTAATGTATCACATCCTTTTTATAGATTGGACCATTCTACTTTCTCTAACTATCTACTTTCTTCTTCCATCTACCCGTCGCATCATGCCAAATTAGTCTACATTTGTCTAATAGCGTAGCCCTGTTAGACCATTATTTAACGAAAATACCGATAATATAGAAAATCAAAATTGAAAACTCAGAACATAATCAAATGTTTTTGAAGTCAAAGGACTAAATAGTCCTGACCATTAAGATTTATAGATCATATTTATAATTTAACCGATAAAGTATTATTTGGATAAAAAGCGGCAAGCAATCATCTACTTACCTGTCCATTACATCCTGCCGTTGCATTGTGGAAAGTAAGTTTCTGGTCCGAGTCAACAATGAGCGGTGCCCCTTGTATTCAGTCTCAGCCTTCTTCAACACTCCAGTTGATTCCTCTGTAAAAACCACGTAAAGCTAGCTGTGGTTCACAAAACATACAGAGATACATATCCTTGAATTCATTCAAAGAATCAGTTAATGTCTGCTGATTCTCTATCATATGATTTTTAAGAAAAAAAAAACTAGGCTAAAATAAGAAAACATAACACCTTTGAAATTTTGGACGTGTTAAAATAATAAACCAAGAAAAACAGATCCAATAACCAGCAGATGCACATATTGATACTATCAATCTTAATCAGGAGCAATACTTCAGCAGAAAGAAAAAAGTAAAAAAGTAGAAGAAAAAAAGAACACAAGTTAATTACAGTGGTTCGACCACATAGGTATACATCCACTGTGCAAGATGAGTAATAACCTTCATTGCATCTCAGTTCATCGAGCCATTACAATCGAGGAAAGAATTTCCAGCAATTACAGAGGAGAATTCTCCCACACACTCTATTTTGCTCTCTCAGAAAGACAAAGAAGAAGAATGTAAACAGCCTCTCACACCCTTTCTCTTATAATCTGAAAATTACAAAATCACTCCACTAAGCCTGCGTAAAAAATTTTGCTGACGAGGCCTCCACAATAGAAAGTCACATGGGTAAAAAATGAGGGAAAGCTCCAGCTTGGATTCCAGATCAAGCTCAATTATAAAGGTCCAGCTCATATATAAATGGGTCAAACAATTAACAAATCACCCTCTTGAACCAATTATATCAAAGCTCAAAGGAAAAACAGAACCGCAACAGCAGAAAATAACTCATCAAGCACTTAATACTCGCAGTAGAGAGGATTAGCCAACACCTACTACTTTAAGTATGTCATGGAGGCATTTAAATCTTACACCTGAAATGGATTTTGTAACATGTCTGCTGGGTTCACATCAGTTGCTACCTTTTTAAGTATCACTTCATTCTTGTTCACTAAATCTACATGTTTTGTCTTGTCATGATAAAGAGGATTTTTAGAAAGTACTAAAGCACTCTGACTATCACAGTGAATAATAGGTTCTGAAATTTCTCCCAATAACTCAGATATCAGCCCCTTTAACCACACTGATTCCTAGGCAGATTCCGTAAGTGCAATATACTCTGACGGAGTAGTTGATAATGCAACCACAGATTGAAGGGAAAATCTCCAACTAATTGTATTTCCATACAACTTGAACACAAAACCTGTAGTGGGTCGTCCTCTCTTATCGAAGTCAGCTGCAAAATCTTCATCCACAAAGCCTTCGAGACAAGGAATATCAGACTTCTAATTTGCATAAATCAACCTAGTGTCTTTTGTTCCCTTTATGTATCGAAGGATCCATTTAACTGCCTCCCAATGGGACTTTCCTGAATCCTGGGCAACTTTATATATTCACTAACGATGCTCAAAGCATGAGCTAGATCCAGACGCGTACAAGTCATCCCATACATCAAGAAACCTACAGCATTTGCATAAGGAATTTCGGACATTTTCACTTTTTTTTCCTCTGTTTTAGGTGACTGCTGCTTGGATAATTTAAAGTGTTGAGCTAGAGGTATCTTGACTGGTTTGGCTGATTCCATCTGAAATTTTCTGATCCATTTTCTGAGCAACTCTTGTGTATTACCCTAGCTACAAGCCTTGCTTTAAACCTTGGTTGGTTCACCCCACTAATGCTTGGTTTTAGCTTGTAGATCCACTCAGAATCAACAAGCTTATGATTTCTGGTTTTTCAGTTCCCATATTTCATTTCTGTGTGAAGAATTCAGTTCTTCTTTCATTGATTCAAGCCACTTATCACTATGTTTAGAGTTTATAGCTTCATCATATGTAACAGGTTTATCACCAAAAATATCACTGCAATTTAAAGCATAAGCTGTGATATCAGAATTATCTATCGCAATGCTAGATGAATCATATCTTGATGGGGGTCTTATTTGTCTCTCTTGTCAATTGATAATTAGACAAATGAGGGTCAGAATTTACATTATCAACTGATTCTATCACATCATGAAGTTGAGAATTAGAAGTATCAACTAGTTGCTGACTCTGAAAAATTTCAGAAATTTGATGCCCTGAAGCAACAGTTTCTGACTGAGAAGGTTGATGTACTGAAGTAGCTGCTGTCTGAGGTGTGTTGTTTGAGTGCCTTCAAGTTCTATCTCAAAAGAACTAATTTGGGACTCAAACATTTTGATCATAACCAAGGTTCCTTCTTTTTCCCATGGAAAATCATTTTCATCAAACTTCACATCTCTACTTACAAATTACGATGCATCTTCCACCTCTCTCTAGTAACCACAGAAACATGGCCTAGCAATAGCTACAATTCTTACAGGGGTCCCTGGTGCACTATTCTAACACACCAGGGAGTTCTTTGGTAACAGTTAGTTCGTGCCTTCATTTGGAGCATTTGGTTGGAAAGGAACAATCAGATTTTCAATGACACACTTCTCCCATTTGAGGTTTTTTTTTATAGGGTTATTGTTTTAGCCCTTGGATGGTGTAAAATCTTATTATTCCCCCTTCAACAATTACTCCCATTCTGCCGTAATCTATAATTGGCGGGCTTTCTTGTAATTAGCCATTATGAGCTTTTTGGTTATTTCATACATCAATGAAATACTTGTTTCTGA